CCGCGGCTGGGTAAGTCCCGGCTCGGCCTCCCCCCCCCGCGGCCGAGGGGCTCCGCCACGAGAAAGGTCGGGGTTCGTGCGCTTTCCGGCTTTGTTTCCACCTCGGCGAGCAGGCGGAGAAACCCGCTATGCAGTTCCCCTGCTCGCCTGGGCGGCTCGGTTTCCTGCCCCGGGCGGCCCGCCCGCCCGTCCGTCGCCGCCTCCTCCACACTGCCACTTGTCTGGCCGCAGGAGGACCCGGGGAGGGTCAGCACGTGCCTGGCGGCCCCCCTTGTGCCCAGGTGCGAGCGGCGCCTCCTGTGCTGTGTCCGGCCCAGGAGTTTCACGCGCCCGGCTCTGACACGATGTGCGCCTCAGTTCCCCGAAAGGGCCTTGATCTCCCTCCTCCGAGGGCTTCTGCAAGAGGCCACTTCTGCTAACGCGGAGCAGAGCCCTAAAGAAACCCAGAAGCAGAAGCCTGCCTGGCATGAGTCCAAAACAGGGCTTTTTATGACCATTTCCTTATGACATACTTTAAGCAAGGCGCTAGTGGTAAAAACATACTGCTTTCAGCGCAGCGAGGGGGAATTGCTACATGAATCTGCTTTTCTGGTCGAGCCTGCGCTGAGAGATTCTTGTACGGCTGTTCTCGAGGGCAGACCTGAAGGAGTGGATTTTGATCCAACTTAACCAGATTCACTAAGAGCTGTGTTGAGATCCTCCTGACTGAATTCGCATTCCCTCAGTGATCAGGACTGGGGTTGGAGGGTGTATTTTCCTACTCTTGTCATACTAGATTGAGCAGAAAATAGCCAGGCAGCCTGCACTGTAGGTAGGCTGCTTCCACTGTGTGTATTCAAGTGGAGTCCACTAAAATTTACATAAATAAACACTGTGAAGTATAGGGCATAGGATATCATAATGTAGATTACTAGGGCTGCACTAAGTGCATGATAAATAACAATGTGATTGTTTCAAATAACAAAACTGATGGTAGTATTCAATGGCAATAGCTGATTATCTTATCTCATCTGATTACTTATCTTTTTTAGCTAAAGCCCTACTACCCTCCTCTTCCTTTACCTTAACGCTTAAGGGGGTTTTTTAGGAGGGGAGAGACTTCTGATTAACACTACGCTTTAAATTCACAACTTCCTTTACTTTGGCATAATTGCCATGTGTAGAGAAGCTGACTGACTCCTGAGATGGCTGCGCCTGCTTACACCATTTCACTCTGTCACGTGGCCAGGATTTCCATCCCTCTTCTAGAAACCCAAACCCTTTTAATTGGAACTAAACCCCAAATATGGCTGTATTTGTACAATGCATAGATCCTCAATAGCAACACTGTGTGCTTCAAGACAATATTTTGTTCAAAAGTAGAAAAACATAATAATTCTGGCAAAACAAATTGAATTTTATTAGTAGATATTAAGAGATGTTAAGTAGATGTTTCTATTACACATAGGAAAAAGGTCTAGGCCAGTGATTCTCGACCAGGGGCATACTTTCAAAGGTGCTGCAGGGTTCTCTGCAATATTAGCAGAGGTAAGTATGCAAACATGATTTATAAAATAAACCCAGAGATTTCAAATAGGAACCCATAATGTTAAAAACATTCTGACCTGTTGTGGCATTTCTGAGTTCTTTGCAACAGAAGAATTTGCTGTATTATTTTTCTGTAGTGAAAACACTGTGAAAGCTAAGAATTTACATTTGTTGAGGGGTGCCTAGAGCCTAAAAAGCTTGAAAACCATTGGTCTAGACCAGTGGATTTCAATTTTTTCATTTGTGGGCCCCTAAATTTTTTTTAATGTAGGTGCAGACCCCTTTGAATTGTAACTGTAGGTATTCACATACTTTTGATTGATCATAGTCATCTTTCATGGATGCCCAGGGGTCTGCAGGCCACAGGCTGAAAACCACTGTTCTAGACTCTAAATACTTCTTTAATGACAGTTGAGTGGTGTTGAGGAAAAAAAACAACACAAAATTTGGAATGAGTTGAATATATTTCACTTAAAAATTTCCAGGAAATCCTACCAAGATTCTGGTGAAAAAGATTGGGACAGAGAGAGAGTCAAAAGACTTTTTTAAACATAGAATGTTGTCTTCTCACCATTGTTTTCTGTTACAGATCCACAATTCTTCTAACGATTTGTTTGCAAAGGTTATATATAAGATACAAGCAGTCCTCAGACTCACGATGCAATTGGTTCCTGAAAACCGTGTCTTTAAGTCGAAACATTGTAAGTCGGAACCAATTTTCCCATAGGAACAATGTTATAAAAGGGGCATGGGTGACTGGTGCCTCCCGAGTCTGGTGGGGGGAGGCGTCCCGTTCCCCCCCCCCCCCCCCGGGCCGTTGGCTGATGGGAGAGGGCCCCCCAGTCCCCAATTCCGGAGCCAGTGGCAAAACCAGAAGTACACTTCCACTGGCACTTCCAGTTTCACAGCTGGCGCTTCCAGGGGGTGCACATGCACCCCCTACACATCACCAATGAAAAGGGGGATTGGTTCCTTTATGATGCTCAACACAGCTGCCTCCAGCTAGTAAGTCCCTTATGATGGGAGGGAAGAGGCATGAGGGAGCAGATCAATGCCCCTACAGTGAGGGAGGGGCTGGGGCAAGTGCTGCTCAGCTGAGGTGGGAGAGCACCGGGGGGGAGGGGCGGCTCCTGTTGCTGCGTGCTGCCGGCCCAGGAACTGCTCATTCGGCAGCTCTTGTTGTGGCTTCTGGCACTGGTCCGGGAGGGCATGCAAGACGAGCCACCAGACAGCTCCCGGACCGGCGGCGCACAGCAGAGAGAGCTGCCTCACCCCCTCCCCGCCCCAGCTGTGCAGTGCTTGCCCTAGCCCCAATCCCTTCCTCGCTGTGTGGGTGTTGATCTGCCTCCCCTCTGCCTCTTCCCTCCCTGCCCCCCCACAAGGGACTTACCAGCTGGATGCAGCTGTGTCAAGTGTCTTAAAGTCGGAACCTCGAAACAGGGTGTAAATTTATAAATGTCGTAAGTGCCATTCATCATAACTCAGTCATAAGTCAAGGACTGCCTGTAGTGAATTGCCTCTTTCCTGAGCCATTAAGAAACAATATTTTTTTTTTTTTTACCAGAAGTCTTGCCCAGCTTTATCTTAACTATTAAATAGCTTTTTCTATTATGGAGACTTTCGAAGATGGATATTGCTCTTGTATGTATTTGGATATACACATTTGGTGTGGATCTCATGGAAAATTACCAGTGCTAATAAAACTCATGAAGAATGATTGTGTATAAAAACATCCAACCACTTGTCAGAGTGAGTGAAGATTTATCATGCAGCCTTGCTGTGTCCTTTGGAATTCCAGTATTTGATAACTGGCAGTACAAGGTTTTGAATCCCAACTTCAAACACCCAGGAATTTGGTCCCAAGTAGGAGTGCACCGATAAAGATTTTTTGGGTTGATACCAATGGCCAATTATTAACAAGTCATATCGGCCAGTACCAATCCAATTGCCAATATGCAGCCGGGCAGCTTGGAGAGCAGCATTGGGTTGGTAAGTCTGTTTGGGGGAAGGGGCAGAAGGGAGGGAAGGGGGGTGGGGGGGCAGATCAAGGCCCTCATAGTGAGGGAGGGAGTGGGGCAGGCGCTGCACAGATGGGGCAGGGCATGGGATGGAGCTGCAAGCAGCTTGTTCAGGGGGCACGAGGAGGGGCAGGAGGCGGCTTTTGCTGCTGCATGTGCCCCCCAGATATGCACACAGGGTGAGGGTGGGCTATTGCTGTGGGCCTGGGCCAGGGGTGGTGCTGGGTTCTTCCCAGCGGGAGGGGCTGGGCCAGGGCTGTGGTCAGGCCGAGTGGTGGCCGTGCTGGAACGGGGTTCCAGGTGGGGTCCCAGAATTTGCCATAGCCAGCCTTCCCAGAGCCACCGCCTATGCCCACCCTAAGCGGAACCCTGGCCCAGCCTCTCCATGGGGAAGAGCTCAGCACTGCCCCTGGCCCCATCCCGCAGCATGCGGCATTATTGGCCACATCTGCCAAAAAAAGCTGATTGCTGATAATATCGATTTTTTTCCTTTTATCAGTGCCAGTACGATATAGACCAATGTATCGGTGCACCTTTAGTCCTAAGAAACCCACCTCACTTGCAAGAGACTACTAGCACACCAGAGTGTTTTCAGGATTGTAGCTTAATGACTGTCTAATGTGTCCGTGAAGTCTGGGGGACTTTGGTTTGGTTTGGTTTTGTATGGTGTGGGGTTTTTTGTTCTTGCTGTTGTGTGTGTATGTATGTATGCCTGCTTGTTTTGCTAAATTCATTTTGCACAGTTAGTTAATTTGCACTTTAGAATGAGATAAAAGTTTTGATACTCCCTGCTGTCCTTGAGTTTTTCACAACTTACTGTTTTTTAGCTGCTGCCGTTTGAAGTGGATCCTTTTTTAACCCAATAAAGGTTGAGACATTGACCTTCTAATAAAGTAGATTAATAAATATAATGGCACACTGACGATAAGCATAACAGAATGAAGATTAGAGAGTCTGATTCTTTATTAGTGTGTTTACTTTTAATAAGCACTTATTTAAACATTATGAGGGTTCTCTTGTATCCCTACTGTAGAAGTTCATAGCTGGCCAGCTACTACTAAACGATAAGCTGTTTATAGCACATCTGCATAACAAATGATTGGTTTGCTATTATTAGTAAGTGGTTTTGAGGTCATTAAAGGGAACTGTTTGTGTTTTATTTTCTTGCGTGTTTTTCACTTTTTCTCCATCATTACATTACTTTTGGAGGCAGTTACATAGCCTGGTCTGTACCAGAGACCTGTGTACCCAGAGTACCTATCCAGACCCTTTCTGAACATGGCTTAACATGGAACCATTTTAACTGCATAGCCACATTGAGTGCCTGTACACAGGGGTGGAGGCTGCTTTGACACGCTATAATTACAGTGCATCAAAGCAGACTCAATTATGCTGGAGTCTGGTAATTACAACGCTCCACTGGCCTCCTGTGTCTTGTGTATCTGCACCCCTGCACTTAAAAATGGCAGCAGGGGGCACTTGAACTAAAATGTGTTCAACAAGCTTTAGTTCAAGTACCCCCTGCTGCCATTTATAAGCACAGGAATGTTGATGCACAAGACACTGCGGTGTTTTAATTAGAGCAGCTCTCAGAGCTGCTCTAATTAAAATGCCACCACCCCCAACCCTGGAACATATGTAAAAGTTCCCAGTGGTTTCATGTGTTTAACCATTGAGGTTTTCCTTTGCCCTCCTCAGGAACAGATCTCATGCTGTGTAATGTGAGAAATCCTGAGACACGCTAGATCAGGGTTGTCCAACCTGAACTTTTTATCACCCAGTGGGCTGGCAAGCCATATTCAAAGATGTCATAGGAAGTGGTATCATATCAGGAAGTGATGTCGCGTGACCTTTGACACCAGTGAAGTTGCAGGGATTGACATGGTGCTGGTTGACATGGCATGCATGCCTGGGTTGACATTGTGCTGCAGGAGTTGCTTGGCTACAACTGGGCTGACCTGGTGCTGGAGAAGCTGCAGGGCCAGGCCGGGGTTAACCTGGGGCCCGCCCAGCCTGCCAGTGCCATGCCCGGGCTGACATGGTGCTCC